TCTATATATTAATATTTGAAAATCTGAAGCGGGCCCCAGATGGCGGCTCTTTGTCAATTCCGCCATTTCGCAATTGGGGTTCATGGAGGCAGCTGAGCGTTTGATTAAACCATTCTGACATACGAATGCATGAAATGTAAAAAAAAACTACTTGGACTTTCACGTAGTAGTTCGTTGCAATTCAGTGTCAATCTTAACACGTAATTTCCGTTTCACTACTTTAGTGTAACTGGGCTAGATACGATATATGTAATGTGTACAAAGACTTTTTAAACGTCGAAATAAAATAAAGGCGATAAGAACGTTTTATTTATTTTATTTCGTTAAAGCTATCACACCTATTTAATAGATAAGTTCAAAGAAAATGCGCGAATATTTACTCGTGGCGTTTGGCGCAAATTATTAATAGTGACCCGCCTTTTATGATTCTTAGACAGGTGTACTGTTGCAAAAGTATACACACAAGTATATTTAGAGCAGTACTCCCAAAAGCTTAATGGTTTGCGCGTTGGGGATAAAACAGAAAAAGGCAACATGGGTTCAATCCTCTTTGCGACCAAAATTTTGAATCGCTTTTCAGCTCGATTTTACGAGATTTTTTTTCCTGAATCGGACGGAAGACCTCTCGTTGCTCGCAACGAGATTGTTTCTAGTTATTATTTTTTTTCTTACCGATTTTTGTGCACGCGAGTTCTCGAAAACGGCTCGGTCGATTTTCACGAAACTTTCAGATCTGATAGACAGTGATCTGAACCTTATAAATATTGGAAATTTTTTATATGTACGTCGTCACTTCCGGTCGAGAGATATGGACGATTTACTGATTTTTAGAGGGTCATCTTGTCCTGGTAACTCCTCCTTAACTACTTAAGATATTGAGTCAAAATTTTCAGTGAGAGTAGCGGAAGGTTTGCTGAGTTGCATATGAGTTGCAAACTTTTCTAGCATAAAAGGCACCGGAGATCGGTGGGGCCCAAAAAATGTCTCAGAAACATCTCACAAAGTTTGACACCTTTTATTTCATATCTTTTTACCAGTTCATAATTTGTTAAAACATATTGAAGAAAAGTTGTGCATAATGTAAAGAGCATTTATATAATACCAAGAAAAAGGGGCTGACCCCTCAAATTAGGGACTCAGAGGGGCAAAAAGTCCTTTAGTGATATCTCTTTAATGAACAATATTTTGTAATAAATTACTGAAGCAAAAATGTTTATCTTAACAATTTGCAACGATACGAGGGTTGTCCCAAAATTCCGTAGACAAGCGTTGTTTTGTAGGAACCCTATGTCATACATTAATGAAACTTTGTATATAGATAAAACCATCACTTTCTAATAAATTTATGTACAAATATGGAGTAACTACACAAATTATTCCAATTTAAAAGACACATTGCATTGTCTGTTGTAGGAAGGCGGCGCAATACCCAAAAGTTGCAATTAAAATTTGGTATATTATATTTAAAATCCTACGGAAAAGTAATTACTACCCTGTATTTTTTAAATGGAAATCAAAATTCTTAATACTCTTTTATAAACTATATTTCCTCAAATTTTGGTGTTTATGCTTTGATTAATATGAATTTTATAACGTTTTATATACATGGGGTAGAAATCCAACTTTTTGAAAAATGGCGGCTTTGTTGGCCCAGGCGGCGCACTGGACTATGATCAAGTTTTTTGATCCTGAGTTCACTCTTACAGGAATGTACCAGTCATAAATGTTTAGTAGACAAGGAACTTTTTTCTCGTCCTTAGTATTTAAAATGACTAAAACGGTTTCTCTATGTATATGTGAATAACAGTAACTAAAATAAAAGACAGGGCTAAGAACTTAATTGGCAAGAGTACCACTGTGCAACTCCTTTGGAGAAAACAGACAGAAAGACCGTAGGAATATAGAGTTTTCAAATTATTATTATTTCAAACCTGTACATGCATATACATTGCTTACATATTTTAATGTTTGATCATATCATAGTAATTAAGATATTTAACATTTATAACTATAACCGTTTCGTTTGATTTAAGAATTTGATTCTAATAATTGAAATATTTTCTCTAAAAATTTGAACCGTTGACATTTGTATTTTTTGACGTTGCAGATTGCGCCGGATGTTAGAGAACAATATCACTTCAAATGTTATTACTCGGAAAGTTTTCAAGTGAACATCATAAAACTTTGTACATTATCTGCCAAGAACACGCTTTATCCACCCTGAAAATTTTATAAAGATACAATAATTTCTTTAAAAGATATGAGCCCAGTCTACGAAATTTTGGGACAACCCTCGTATATTGTAAAATTATGATCATAGGTTACGAAATTAGGAGCCATAAGAGGTCAAAATACTTAATTTTTCCATTCTTTATACCTCCAAAGGGAGAACTATTTTTATAAGGAGTATTGAATAAAAGATGTTTAGAATCGTGTTCTAAACAATAGACAACCATTCAACTTTTGCATTTATAGTTTTTTTTAATGTTATATAAATAAAAAAAAATTAAATCACATAAAAGAAGTTTTGATATCATAATGTTTTAACAAAAATGTAAGTCAAAATCATATCTCATCTTATTGAAAAAACAGACGGAAGACCTACTCGTTGCTCGCAACGAGATCTCATCTAGTTATTATTATTTTTCTTCTTCTTCTTCCTGGGTACTTTTTTGTCCGGGAATGATCTTGTAAACTATTCATCCGATGTAGGTAAAACCTTTTTAGGGTTAGTAGACATGTTATGTAGATTTGCCTAGTCAAGGTCATTTTGCGCGCACGTGCAACACAAGAAATGATCAATATAATTGATATAGACCTACTTTCTCAATTTTTGATGAAATGCGTTGAAACTCATATTGTAATGATATATTAGTAGCATAGACAAGATGACATGGTCAAAATAGCAAGATCTCACGCGCATACACATGCGCTTTGCTCTGATTGGCTGAAACTAAAGTCTCAATATCTTTCTTGTTTTTTGACGAAATCCTTTGAAATTTTGAACATAGTTATGTATTACGATATCTTACAACATGATATATAGCAATTATCATGAAAACACGTGTATGCACGTGCACTGCAATCTGATTGGCTGAAACTTTAAATAGCTATAACTCCCTCGGTTTTCAACCAAACAGGATGCGATTTGGAACATAGATATATATAATGGACTTCTACAATAGGTATGGTCACCATGCACATGCATACACGTGCGTGTACGTGCGCTGCAATCTGATTGGCTGAAACTTTAAATAGCTTTAACTCCCTTGGTTTTCAACCAAATAGGATTGGATTTGGAGCATAGAGATATATAATGGACTTCTACAGGAAGGCATGATCACCATGCACATGCATGCATGCATGTGCTTGTACGTGCGCTGCAATCTGATTGGCTAAAACTATAAACAGCTATAACTCCCTTGCTTTTGAACCAAACGGGGTGAGATTTAGAACATAGATAGATGTAATGGATTTATACAAGAAGGTATGGTCACCATGCTCATGTATGCACTTGCATGCACGTGAAATGGGTAAAATTAAAAATACACTTGACTGAGCGGTTTTTTTTAATACTTTTGGATAAAATACTTTAATATTTAGCATATTGAAATATAAAGTGTAGACAATATGATATGGTCATTACGCACATGCATTCACATGCGCAAGTGTGCAATGATAAAATTTGAATGAACATAGTACACTTTTGGGTAAACGTTGATAAAGTCTCAAATGCATAGAGTTTGTCTTATTTAATTACGCTTACAGGGAATATGACTATAAAAGGGAGTTGGGGAGTGTTGGGGAACATCTGTAACGGTCCCCGTTACAATTAGCACTAGTTGTTTTTGTCTTGTCTGTTTCTTTATCTGTCTCTAGTGAGCTTTAACTTTTCGCCATAAACTCTTGAACCATGAGAGATAGAGACTTCATATTTGGTACATGTATTGTATTGTTTATTACCAAGAACCATACAGTTCATAGGTTTAACGTACATGTATATACATATCATGAAAATCATTTGTACATTAAGTATAGCAGGATCATAGAAAAATTCTTACAAACTATTCATTCTAGTTCATAAAACAGACAAAGCACCATAATATAAACTTTTTAATAGTGGTACTGAGGATAAATTCATAAGATCTATGTCAAATTAACTTCTGCTCTCAATCGTGTACATTTATGAAGATATTTTCCCAGTTTACATATCTCTTTTACATTTTTTGTCGACAACAATTGAACAAGTTTAAAGGTAGAGGGTTTTGGTGATAATATTTCTTAAAATAATCTTTTCTAACATCTGAAAAAATTGACAAACCAGAATAAAATATTACTCTCCAACCTGAGACATTGAACAAAATTACATAATCTTTCTATTCTAGGAAAATTAAAAAATCTCCCTCGTTCTATCTCGATATGGTGAGAAGACAAACGATATTGACTATGTTGTACATACTTTTGTGATATTGATTTGGTTAAATATAATTAAATATTAAAACTAGCGGTTAAATACTTATTCAAAATGCTCTACTAATTCAGCTCTTTCAAATGACACAAAGGTCAATGACTTTGTGACCTTGGCTGTGACTTATATGCTAAAAATATCTTTTTCGAACTTTCGCCATAACTTTTGAACCATAGGAGATAGATACTTAATATTTGGAATGCATACTCCACTGATTATGTTCTCTCAAGGTACACAAATGACCTAGTAAACTATATGCTAAAAATAGCTTTTTCGAACTTTGTTGCCGCCGGGCGCGTAGTGTTTTACACACACATCTTGTAATCACAAGTGATTATATGTTAAAGTTACTATTTTTTAAAATTTTATTAATCTTTAAAAGAGATCTTTAAAGAGGTCCTACACGTTTAATTTACAAGAATATCAATGATCATTACAACGTTATTTCAAACTGGAATAGCTGATGAGATGACGTAATTGAGAAGGAGCTACATGTAATTTCGTCACTTATTTGTATAACATGTCTTATTAGGTAAACTTCAATCCGAGTGTTCATCACATGGATATGTTTACGATCCTTCGGTCCCTCTGTGTTATCAAATCAATGCTGTAGCGTTAACAAAGGTTGATGCTGTGACATCCTGTCAACAAAGTAATGGTCATTTGCTGAGAATTGATACATACAGGAAACAACTTTTGGTAGAATCATTAACCCTACAAACAACAGGTAAGAAAGTCATTATTCTATTTATCGCATGGTTAATTAGATGACATTTCATTAGTTTCTTTAGGCGAGGATGATCAAAGTTTTGGTAATTGAATTATTTTTTTTTTATTTATTTTTTTTTTACAGAGAATGATTATATACTTTCACCCAGATGTAATTAATATTAACATACCAATATAATTTATTGCATTTATAATCGTTTACTTTCATATATTTTAGCGAAAATGTCATGGTTTATTTAAAAAAAATTGCGCCCCTTCTCGTGTTTCCATAATCTTTTATTCATATGAGGTGTTTTACATGCAATATATATAATTAAATTAAAAAAAGTAAGTTTTTTAAAGGTATAAATCTTTCATGTGAAAGTTGCAAAGTAAACTGGATTCTGGAAAAAGTAAAACTGAATTGGACAAGGCATTTCTAATATCAGATGGAATCGTATATGTCTCATATTCAAATAAAAATAACCGCAGATATTAAGTAAATACACGCACCAATACATTTACCTTTCTGGTAGCAAAAAAATATTCTTTTGGTTTATTTTCTTTATTTTTAGCCTCTGTTTTGAAATATCGAATTGATGGAGAAAATCAAAACAATGGTACCTGGACTTTTTCTGACGGAAGAGAAATTGCCACATTTTACTGGTACCCTGGGGAACCTAAAGAAAATCATAAATCTATTGGACTGAGAGTGACATATAAAGGACTGTGGGATGATATAAGTGACACTTGGCCCCATGGATTTATTTGCGAACGAGTGCCTTCAGTTTTGTAATTAGTACTTCTACATGACAATGTTAATGTGAACACTTTTTTGTTTTTAAACTATTTTAAATATTCATTCTAGAAGTGCCCTTTAACCCAAGATTGAACATCTGATCTTAGATTGTTTTATTGTTAAAGTAATACGTTTTATTTCCATTAGTGAACTCTTCAGAATTAGAGGCGTGTTTGGTCGTCTGACTGTGGCAGCATGGCGTTGCGGATAGTACGAAACATGCCAAACCCAGTTCAATTAAATGTTAAATGTATTTGTCATTCTAGTTAAAGAATAGAGGAACTAAAAACCTGTAAGAGAGCGAGAACTTGAAATTCATAACCCATGTATGAAAATACGACATTTGAGTGAGAGGCATGCATGTGTATTGTAATTTTGTATTTAGATGATACCATAAGATAAACAGACACATACGATCATCATTAGATATGAATTGATATCGTTGTAATTCCTACTATTAATGTATATAAAATCCACAGCAATTAAATATTCCGTTTTCATTTTGTTAGGATTTTTTCACCGAGATCCAACAAATTGTTTACATGTTTTTGTTACGTTTGTCCCAGAAATCCCGCGAGATTTGCACATTTTCAGACTTTTTCACATAAGAGCGCACTAAGAAGTATAACTCTTCTAGTGGAAATAGAACGTATTAAACTATTGTAGTTAGATACAGTTCTATATAATGCTAGAAAAAGAATATTTCTTTGTAGTTTCAACTGTAAATGCGCTGCACTAGTAAGATAGAGTGCAAAAGTGCTTTGAAATAATATGGGACAATTAATTTTTGACTACCAAGGATAATTAGTATCAAATTATGTTTTTTTTTCAGTCCAGTTGTCGAAAGTGGACGACCAACTATGCATTAGTTTATATTTCATCATCACTCACAGGATGATACTTAAATTTAATCATGTTTGTTCAGTTTGTTTGATATGAAAATGTACTTTTAAAGGATTAGTCATAATAGCTAATCCCCTTTAAGATATAGTAACACTAAAAAAAATGTTTGCCTAAAAGGCGTAATGCATTTCTGATTGAGATGTACGAGGGTGATTCAAAAAGTTCGTAGACTTTTGTCCTAACTTTTTTATTAAACGTCATATTATATCCAAATTTGGTACAAATATTTTAACAACAGATTCAAATAATTTCTGTAAAAAAAATTGGAATGTATCCTCATATTTATCAAAATTACCAAGGATTTAGAACAGCAAAAATGGGGTCACGGAGCACCTTCAAAATTGAGTAATTTTCTAATTTTCACTTTATAGTATTTACAACTATACCTCTAATAAAAGAATCTGAAATGAAATAAAATTTACATGTTTAAATAAAGTATTGCTGTATTAATTAAAATGAAATCAGGTTATGTAATATCTCGTTCCATATAAAAAGATATCAGCCTCTATATACATATGGACTTGATTAAAAAAGGCAAAAAACCATGACGTTTGAGGACGTCACGGAGCAGCAAGTAGCAATAAAATTAGACTTTACATTCGGGAAACGTTTTCTACAAGCTTAAAAAATCCTTATAAATCAGGATCTGTCTGAAAAAAAAAATCTGTGTATTTGTATTAAGTTGAAAATACAATTTTGAGTGGTAGCGAGTTTGAATCGGACGATGGATTGTCTGCAAAGAAACAGGTTAAAGTTAAAAATATTGGCAAAAGAGTTAGGAACGTCATTGAACGTGATGTGTGCTTCAATGTTGCAGAAATAATAAAGTTGCATGGTAAATCAAAGAATTTAAAAACAATAACATTCTAATTCAAGCTTTATTTATATAATTGTTAGCAAACCAGGTGTTTAGTATTGTGGATATGTGTTTTGAATGAAGAAGACGCAACCAACCGTGTTTAAAATAACAAAAATGTGTATACTATTGACAAACTTTCTCAGCGTTGTTTTTGACGTTACAATATTGGTTAACCGTGCTCCGTGGTAACAAAACATGTTGCTTTTAATTTTGGCTAACGTGAGTTCTGTTTAATCAAATGGAATGAAACTTCACACTTCGACAAAATAAATGTTTATGTTTACGAAAATGTGTTGATCTATAATCTTGTAATAATCATATGACGATGAGAAGCATTGTCTACGTATTTTTTGAATGACCCTCGTATATATTTATGCTTTGCATCACAATGCAATTGGTATCAGCCAGCCTTTGGCAAATGCTACGATCGACTAATCAACTATAAATTATTATACTGCATTATAAATATTTCATTGAAAAATGCACACGCAGCCTGTACGTGTTTTCGCATTTGCTATTATACTAATTCTGGAGATATGCTATTCCATTGCCACCCACAACGACAATCCAGTTAAAACTGTTGTCCAATGTAGTGAAACACATAATATTGAAATTCAGAGAAGTTTAACAGAGCTCGGAATGAAAATAGACAAATTATCCAATTCTTTTGGTGAGTCAGTTTTTGATTTGGTTTCATGTGCTTTATGTCAAGGAATCTTTTGAATACATGTTTTTCTTAAGTTTATACCATTTAATTATCGGGTGAACCTACGATATGATCATGTATTAGTAAAAATATTAAAAAGATATAGTGTCTTTTTCATATTCTTGAACATTGGTTAACTTAAATAATAAAATTAATAAATAGAAATAACAACAATCGGGTTCTGTAAATCACTTTTTATTCGCGAGAACTTATTATTTTTGCGAAATTTATTTATTGCGTATATATCTATTTCAAAGGATCAAATGCTTCAGAAACCACAGTTCGGGAACTTTATTTTTCGCTAAACATATCAATCAGATTATTCGCGAATATAAGGTGTCGAGAAAATATAGTGATCAACATACAGTAGAAGGGGTTTTCTCTAGCAGCTAAAACATTCATGATTACACAATCAATGATTTAAACAACAAAATACACTCACCATTATATATCCCTATACAAAGCCTTTCTTGGGGGGCTAACTGTCGGTCTATTTTAGTAATATTTTAAGAATCTTGATATTTGAAAAAATACAGATACTGCCTTAACATTTCTTACTTTTATCTAAGACATTTACAGATCTAGATCTTGCTAATAAATTTCATTTTTTATTTTTAATTTACAAGGGTATAATATTTCATTTTTCTCTTAATTAAAGGACAGACATATAAAGTTGAGGGCAAGAGATTCTTCAATGCTGCTTACGGTAAATAGGTCACGCAGAGCTCGGACTACGATAAGCAACACTATTTAGCGTCATCCGTAACCAATGGGCTGCTAAAAGATTTTTCTCACACTAAAAAAGAAAATGACCCCTGGCTGCTGATAGATCTTGGGAAAGAGTACCTCGTGTTTGAAGTCGAAATATTCAATGTCGACAAAGAGGTGCAGTGCTGTGGTACTATGAAACTTTTTGTTCTCCTAATTTTTTATTTTTGAAAAATAATTTATTTTGTAAAGTATTGTTTAAATGATCACAGTTTAACACTATAAATATTATGTAATCTAAAACATTAAAGTGAAGATAAAGCAAAATATTTTTCACGACTACGGAATTATTAATTTGATCATTTATTTATTTTGGTATTTATAACGTAAGCAACTGTTTTTTTTTTTTCATGAAAAGTATTCTACATTATCTTGATGGATAAAAAAACTATATACGCGAGATTTTTTTGCGAGCAAAACGCTAAGCGTACTTATGGTAAATATATTGTTCTAATTGAGAAAATGTGATTTACAAATTATAAAACGTTGATTTTTCAGTCTCTTTGTTATAGCAAATCGCTTTCGTGATGCGAATATCAGTGTTGGGTCTTCGCCTATGAATATGGAACTTTGTGGACATTTTGAGGGACCAGGAGAGGACAAAGAACGCATTGTTGTGCGCTGTCCACTTGTCAAAAGGGTTAGATACGTCAAAATCCAGATTGTTAAAGGCTCTGACAACTACCTTCATTTGGCTGAGGTTCGAGTTTGGGCAACCAATGTTTTGTGAATGTAAACCTCTAAATATATTATTTAAATATATATAAATAAAAGATATCATTGTCCAATCTTATTTTCAATTTTTAATGCAGTGAATTGCATATGACTATTCATATTGCAGACTTTATTTGATAAAATTAAATTATGTCAGAAAGGACAATATCCAAAAGGAATTGCGATGGGTTTCAGGTAAATTGCACTACATTTAAGTCTATATACCGGTACATATTTAATATTTGAACATAGCTACAACACCCGTAGGGAAGCATTTTTTTTTTTAAATGGGCGAAGTCCAAAAGTTGATACAGAGCAGCAGATTGTTGATATCCCCGGGCAAACAATGAAGAATTGTTTTGCGTTATGGAATGATATAATGTGTGTGATATGAAGAATACATGTAAATGCCATGAAATGAAAACTCAGTAGCCCAGATAATCAAGAGTCAATACAGATGTGAGGTCAGGCCTAGGGGCCATAAAACGTAGATGAGCTCACTTTTGATCTAAGTCTCAATTTTTTACTACATATATGTTCCTTTAATAAAAATGATACTAAGATCAAAAGTGAGCTCGCCTACGTTTTATGGCCCTCAGACCTGATGTTAAATCAAGTTTAGAAACAAAAATAGAAGCGCATACACTGTTGTGGATCGCATGCTTTTTTGTTTCTTTTTATTTCATTAGATAGATATTGTTTTTAGTCATTTGGATTTCTACAGTTAGATTTCGTTTTTGATCGGAAGAATCTTATTTTCCTTGCATGATGAATGAATAATATTATTATTAAACATAATGTGAAAAAGTAAAGATCAAAGATCACCACGTTAGGGGATATAACGAAGTTTGTCTGGGTCCCCGGCAAAATTCTTAAATATATTAAATATATAGCGATATATACTGATTTTGTATCGTATGTTTTGTAGCTTCCCTAACATATATAATAGTAACAGTTGAAGGAAAACATGCATGATATATATGGTTATACTTCGTTATACGCAATTATATAGAAACTTTCGCTATAACCGTGTTTTACTGTATATACATTTTGTAGTTTAGAACAATGTCGACATGCATGATATATTTCTCGTGCAAATGAAACTTCAGTGTCTGCCGAATTCGTTTTACATTGGATGTTTTACTGGTTATATACGTTAATTGTCAAATGATTACTTATAAAATTAATAATACACTATTGCATCTTCAGCTTCCCAATAGTCATTTTTCCCTATTTAGTATGAAGATATATTCAACTAAAGATACATCTCCGAAATGGTCCGGTTCAGAGAACTTGATTTTAGTACGATATTGACAAAAAAGTTTATGATTAAGCAATTAAGTAATTTCATTTGGCATTTTGACATTTTGTCAACATTTGCATTCATTTTTAAAGCATATCTATATTTTGCAAGAAATGATTCAAAATAAACGATGCCATCAATCCTTAATCCATTCATTCACTTCACATTTGGTGTAGGTTTTAGGTAAAGAATCGTTTTAGTGTCCTCAAGTCTATTTGAATGTTAAAAATTCATATATGTTTACTGTTACATGTACAGTGTATGTTGATTGATACATGAATCAAGAACATTGGAAAAACCAAAGGTATTATGGAGGATCCCAGTGCATGAGTTTCACATGCCCATTTTTTTACTTTCTGATCAGTGAAACATATACATTATTCATTGAATTGCTCTACCTTACTATATTTGAAGTTGGTTCATTCCTGCTTTCCAATGGCTAAAGATTTCTTGACAAGTATATTTTAGTATCTACACACTAAAATAATTAATTAAAGGTCAAAGCAAAAGGGGGGTCTATAGACTTCCTATGGTATATCAAATATGACCTTTTTGCACTGAAATTGTGTCTTAAACATAAATATTCTTTTTCACCAACATTTTTAGGTCACCTGAGCCAAAGGCTCAAGTGAGCTTTTCTGATCATATTTTGTCCGTCGTCCGTCCGTCTGTCTGTCTGTCCGTCTGTCTGTCCGTCTGTAAACTTTTCACATTTTCGACTTCTTCTCAAGAACCACTGGGCCAATTTTGACCAAACTTGGTACAAAGCATACTTGGGTAAAGGAAAATTTAAATTGTTAAAATGAAGGGCCAAGTCCTGTTACAAGTGGAGATAATCAAGATAAGAGAAAAATAGGGTGGGGTCATTAAAAAATCTTCTTCTCAAGAACCACTGAGGCAGAAAAGCTGAAACTCATGTGGAAGCATCCTTGGGTTGTGTAAATTCTAAATTGTTCAAATCATGACCCCCGGGGTAAGGGCGGGGCCACAATTGGGAATCGGAAGTTTTACATTGAAAATTATAGGTAAAATCTTTAAAAATCTTCTTCTCAAGAACCACTGGGCCAGAAGAGCTGAAACTTATGTGAAAGCATCCTGGGGTAGTGTAGATTCTAAATTGTTCAAATCATGACCCCGGGGGTAGGGTGGAGTCGCTATTGGGAATCAAAGTTTTACATAGAAATATATAGGAAAAATCTTTGAAAATCTTCTTCTCAAGAACAACTGTGCCAGAAAAGCTGAAACCCATGTGGAAGCATCTTGGGGTAGTGTAGATCCTAAATTGTTCAAATCATGACCCCCGGGGTGTAGGGCGGGGCCAAAATGGGGAATCAAACTTTTACAATGGGGAATCAAAGCATCCCGTGGTAGTTACATTTCAAATTGTCTAAATTATATCATTTAGGTAGGGTGGGGTCAAAATATGTATTATAAAGGGGAAATCTGGTAAAGAACAGAATGGTCGAAGCTTCTCAGGTGAGCGATGTAGCCCATGGGCCTCTTATTTATCCAAACAAACCAGTAGAGCCAAATATAGCTTAATCTATCTTTAAAATACCCATTAAAATTTCAAATTACTCCAAAAACTAAATTATTTGGCTGTTTTACACTCACAAATTGTCATGAAGAAAATTATTTTAAAGTCTTAAACTTTTACTGAATTAAGGCAGAATGGTCATGGTTATCTTATTCAGAAGAGAAAATCAAAGGTAAAGTTCTTTGATGCATTTTTTTTAATTTACTGAAAAGTGTTAATTTTAAGTTTAAGTTAAATTGGTCGTATTATTTCATGGCCTCTCAGAATAACTTTGCGTTATTTATCACATAAGAATATGGGTGAATAAGGCGGGCAGAATGCCTATAGTGCGACAGATAAGAAGTGAAAATTTTAATCTCAATTGAATTCAATTTTTTTTTCTATATCTTATTTTAGGATATCCTAATGCATGACTATGTTTTAAATTTCAAAGCATTTCGTCAAAAAACAAAGGAGATATAGCCGTTTAAAGTTTCAGCCAATCAGATTGCAGCATATGTCCATGCGCATTATTTTCTTGAACTTTTTTGTTTATCGTATTGCAGGATATCCTAATGCATGATTAAGTTTTAAATTTCAAAGCATTTCGTGAAAAAATAAAGGAGATATAGTTATTTAAAGTTTCAGCCAATCAGATTGCAGCACACGTGCATGCACGTGTTTTCAACATAATTGCTATACATCATGTTGTAGGATATCTTAATGCATGGCTATGTTCAAAATTTCATAGGATTTCGTCAAAAAACAAGAAAGATATAGAGACTTTAGTTTCAGCCAATCAGAGCGAAGCGCACGTGCATGCGCGTGAGATCTTGCTATTTTGACCATGTCATCTTGTCTATGCTACTAATATATCCTTACATCATAAATTTCAAAAGATTTCATAAAAAAATAGAAAAGTTACGGCTATATCCAATATATTGGTCATTTCACGTGTTGCACGTGCGCGCTCTTGCAAGGATGTGCGCGCAAAATGGCATGTTGACTATGTAATCTTATTTACATTTATAATATGTCTATATATTCTAAATATCAAAGCATTACATCAAAAAATGTAAAAGTTACGGCAATTTCAAGTATATTGGTCATTTCACGTGTTGCACGTGCGCGCTCTTGCAAGCACGTGCGCGCAAAATGACCTTCGTTCCGCAAATCTACATAACATGCATACTTATCCTTAAAAGGTTTCCCCTTTATCGGATGTGTACTTTGCGAGATCATTCGCGGACAAAATTTTCCCAAGAAGAAAAATAATAATAACTAGATGCGTTCTTGTTGCTGGTGCAACAAGCAGGTCTTCCGACCGACTTCTCTTTTGCAATCTTGTCTGCGTCATCCCATGAAATAGATTTCATAATGTATGTTTTCGTTTACGTTCATTTACAGCAGTTTCTGA